GCCGCCATCAGTGCATGTGAGAAGGGCGGGCAATGGCAGCAAGCATTCAAGTTTTTTGAGGCCATGTCAAAGCAGAACGTTTTGCCAGATTTAGTTACTTACAATGCTTTGTTGCAGAATGCCGCAGTTCACTCTGGCGAGATTGGTAGGCAGTTGTTTCTGCAATGCAAGTTGCCAGAGATTCGGAGACTGCGAGCATGTGGATCTTCCGAAGTGGACCTTCACGGCCTTTCGGAGGGAACTGCGTGTCTTGCTTTGCGGGATTGGCTGTCCAATGCAGTCGCCCGAGATTTGGAGAGAAGCGACCCAGTGACTGGTATAATCATCACTGGTTATGGAAAATCTCGCAAGGAGTGGCAGGCAAGTGATGTACGTCAGGCAGCCTTGAACTTGTTTCAAAGCCTGGGACTCAAGGCCTTTCCCTTGCCTGAAAACCCAGGTCGGCTTCGACTTGTCGTTTTCAAGAGACATTTGCCTGTGCTGCGGGGTGCGTGGTACGGCGGGCAAAATTAGCGACAACCCCAGGGCACTGCTACCACCATGTACTGATCATTATTTGAACAGACGCACTTAGGTCACACAAAGGTTTCCATAATAAATATAATTAAATATACAACTGGGATGTGTTTTGCTTGGTCAGTTGGCTGCACCATTTAGTGCTTTCATCCAGCCTCGCCCAGCCTGTCAGGCCAAACATCACCCCTATCGTCAGCGCATGCTGCAGTGCGGGAACCAAGGTTGAGTCTAGTTGCATAGTACCTTCTCCAGTCTACAAGCATTGACCACACCGAAGCTACTCCATCACAGTGTCACATTTGCGGCTGAAAAGACTCATGAGGACGACTCGTGATGCCTCATGTTCTTCAGGATGGAAACGTCCTCTCAAACCAACCTCCTCCGCATCCAATCTGCATCCCTGTCTCTCTTCTCCGATCCCTTGAGGCGTTGGACCGCCAGGCCTTGGGGAGATGGAGCGAGGGTAGAGGGAGCATGGGGAATCAGTATCTTTCATTGGATATCGAAGCGCAAACATGCCCAAACATCCTCATGTTGCGCATCTCATACCGAGCATTGTTTGCACGGTGCTATTGATGCTAGTGCTGGAAAGCTGTTCCGTCAACAATTACAATTGATGTGTATAGATATTTTTGTTTATATATATATACATACACCCTGGAACCCATTTGACCTTTGTTTTGATAGGAACAGGCCATATTTTGGGTGCGTGGTGATCCAAAATATGTGCGTTAAAACATGTTAAAATGTATACTACTATAGACATACATTGATAACCAGTAATTAGCGTGCCCTGGCCGTTGGTAGACAAAATATGAAATGACTTCAACAGAGCGATCGGTAGTTTTGGATGGTTTTTCTCCACCTGTGTCCCGGTGGTTGCTACCGTAATTCAGGATGGAAAGGCTTCCAGGCTTAAGACCCAGAACTCTCGTCCACTTTGCGGAACTGGTACTTACTGTTCAGAGGAAACAAATGGCGCAGAAGTTGGCAGGCAGATGCTCAACCTGAAAACATGAGATCAACTTGCAAGCAATATCAAGCAATATCCAAAAACATATATATATATATAGTTTATATTTATGTATTCCACTGCGATGTTTGGCAATCCTAGCGTGCCAGCACCTTCCAACACATCTCATTTGTAGGTTGTTCGTGACTAAGCTGTCAGTGGTGCGCTGTTGGAGGTTGTTTGCAGGTTTTGTGGTGTCCAATTATTTTGCAAGAATTATTTAGATTAGATATAATCACCTTTGCCTGGGACTAATCAGGACCAATAGATATCATATGATATCATACTTTGTTTAGTCTTTCTGAACATGAAAAGAGCATGAACCGCAGCTCCTCTTCTGATGTCCGGCCACAACCTGAGGCAGGATGAAGCGGGCTAGGAGCCTTAGACGCCTTTGATCGCTCGGATGTCCCGCAAAATTGACCCAATAGAAGGGGATTCAATGTTGGATTCAATGTTCTGCACACGGAAATGCCCCCCCCCAAACCTTCAGAATCACATGTGCGTCCCCAATGGCGCTGGAGGGGCAGGGGCAGCGTTTAGGTCTTTGAAGTCTCCTATTCAGAGAGATCTTCGGAGTGTACCACAGAATTGGAATTTCCTTTCCTAGGCCAATCAATGAAGATGGCTTGCCAGTGCAACGCACAACCCCAGGAGGAAACATCAGCAATGCCACAATCTGCTACGACTTCCAGTATGCATGCAACACAATTACATCAGCTTGAATCAGAGCTGATGTTCTATATAACTGCTGCATTCAGCTTTGTTCATCCCGGTTCATCCCGGGATGCAGCTCTTTTCGTCGCTTTTGGCCACCCCAGCCGATGCCCTTAGGGCTCCAGCATGCGATCGAGGAGATCTTACAAGGCACGAGTTGGGTCTTGGGGCATGTCCTTTGAACGACTGAAGCGGGGTGAGTAGGCACAAGAACCACTTGTACAGGGAGAGCAGCTTGCAGAGTGGTTCTGTTGGTTTGGTTCGTTTGGTTCTTGCATGATGTGTCCCCTGGCAGTCAGGAACCAAAATTCTTCACCGTTGGCAGGTTTGAGTTGGCTTCCCATCGTCCATGCCTTTCCTTTCTGCCTGCCCTCCAGTGGAGGAGTCCCACTTCATTCCCTAATGTGAGTTCCCTCAGGTTGGAAGATTGCCTGAGACAATTCAATCTATCACCTCCCGGCTGTCTTCATTCGTTGAAGGAAGGATTACCCGCACTAAGCTTCGTTCCGTTCCTGTCAGAATCCGATGTTGCAAGGAGAACGTTCCCAAGAAATAACCTCTTAAGACAACCTGTACACGTTAACGGCCAAGTGACTTCTTGGTTGTCAAGCTAGCTGGTCAGCAGTCGCCGGAGGTATGAACCACAAGCTACGAACGGAGCAAAGGGCAATCGCTACTAGGAGCAATCGGACGCTACTAACAGCTCCTGGCCATACTACTGACTAGGACCTTACTAGGAACAAGAAGCTGCGAACGGAGCAAAGGATCCATCTATTTCCCCTTTCAACAGGGAGCTGTTCGGAGCGACCGAGCCGGGAGTTCCGCGAGCATCGCCCAGAACAGTTGTTGAGGCCTGAGGCCGAACCGGTGTGACGGGCAAATCAAACGCGAACCTCACACTCTACGCAGTGACCGCAGTGATTGGAGATGGACAGTTGAGCCGACTCACGCCCGGTCCGCTCTCGAATTCTGACCGGGATCCTCAGGTTGGTCTCCTGAGAAGCAGTTGGTGACCCGGGTCGCGCGTAGTCGGGGACAAGGAACTTAGACAAACACGAATCCTTTTCTTGGCCAAGTTGTGCCTTAATATGTGTCAATATTGGTGGCTTGTGGATGCAGATTGGAAGCACCAGGAGCTTTGGAAGGTAGCTACGGTTGGGGATGGTTTCGTGGATATTCCAAAGCTGCAAAATGCACAAGCAGCTACCGTTTGGGGGACCCAGCCCTTTTTCTCTTCTATATACAGTATGGCTTGGAAGGAGACGTTGCCTTTAAGGTTGGGTCATGAAGCTCCCAACTTTGAGCTCTTAAGCAGAGTTAGGCATCTTATCAGCAAGAACCTGTTCCCAGAGACAAAGACCATTGATAAATTCAACACCAGAATCTGAGGTGCTCCTCCTTGTTGTCTAGGTGGTTCTATATGTTTTAGGAGTTTGATGTGGTTTGCTCGCTGATCCCTTAATTACATCTGAAAAAGAATTTGCGGTTCCACGTGATTGCTTTGTTTCTGACCTTTAGCCACCGCAGAGATCCCTCATGTTGCTGGATTTTGTTTGTTTCGTCGCCTCTTTGTTGTCCAGACTGCGAGAAAGGCCCGGCTGGACGGTGAGGCGGCCGGCGACGCGATTGAGGCTCCGGCCGCTCGTCGACGGTGGAGAAGTCCAGAGAGAAGACTGGGCTCACGCGGTTGAGGCGACTTGGGGATGAACATTTTTTTTGAGTTCATGGTGGTTCATGTTGGTTCATGTTGCGCCAGTCACAAATGCTCATGCGAAGGTTTAGCGAAGGGTTCAAGCCTGCAAGACCTGTTAATCACCCTAAAAGATCTAATTTACTAGCCCTGTTACTATTGCTATGACTTTGGTTGTGCGGTTGACCAAGGTTGACCTGCACATGTGTGGTTGACTGAGAGACATGTTGGACATCCGATCCTGGTGATTTCTACGGCCTTTTACAACCGCAGCCCTTGTCGTCTCGGGGGCTTTGGCGCCCGCCACCTCCAGTCGTCCAAGCTCGCTCGCGCGAGAGCGCGCAAACTCGGATGGAGCTCGGGGAGAGGATGGATCTCAAGTTCTCAGGGCCTTTTTGAGAGGTTCCAAAATCACAAGGAGAGATATATATATATATAGAGAGAGAGAGACAAAGAGTGAGATGGGGGGATGAGAGGGGAGATTTTGATGTTCATTTAGCTGGCTCATACGTGCATTTCCTTTGGATCATTGGATGGGGAGAAATTGGATTTTCAAGTTGCAGACCTTCAAGTCGCTTGAAAAAATCGTTGTCCTACCAATGAGTCTGTGGTCGCGTAGTCTTTGTGAGTGAAAAAGAATCGCCGACTCAGGTGTTTTTTCCATGATAAGTAATTGGACCAGTACAAAATTGGTATGAACTTGGCACAAAATCCACAAAAGCTCCTTTCGCTTGGAGAGATTTGGAAGATCGACTTGCTCGTAGATAGAAGGGGATCAACATGGAACGACAAATCCAAACTGACACTTCACTTGAGAACCACAATGGAGAACGGCAGTGGCGCATGTGTTTCATTGTTCTTTCAATCTTCGACTAGACTACCTTGTTTGTCCTGCCTTGGGAATTGTTTCCATCTTCTCCTGGCTCTCAAGGGACTGACCCAGCAGATATGAAGAGGACAGATGCACCTGTGCCAAGTGGAAAAGCAGCTGTGAAAGAGTCTCGATGAAGGTGTACTGGCCAGCAAGTTTTCACGGACCGTGCTGCGTGTACGGTGAATGGGTCAATATGGCAATATTCATCATGCTGCCACGGGTTCAAGCAGCACTCTCTCAGCACTCTTGCAGAGAGAGTGCCCTGATATGCCCTGATCAGCAAATCAGCAATAATAACTGATGATGAAGCTGGTTCCCACCTTAACTGCCGTGACTTGAGAAAACACATCGTGGAAACCACAGCAGATAGATCATGAACGGATGAACAGCAGACATCGGTTTGGGAGAGTTTTACACGGGGATCAATCGGTTTGGTTGGGCAACCTGCCAATTTCAACAAGAATTTGTTGCCTCAGCCAAGATCCAACTCTTTGGAGTGGGGCACAGTGTGGGGCACCCACCCCCTGGCGCCACCCATGTAAAGCTCTAAAAGCTGGAGACCCAATGTTTCGATCTATGGGGTTTGCTTAAATGGTTCCAGAACCTGTTGGGCCATGCCTCACGTGCAGAATGAGTCTAGGCGCCTAGCCTTGCAAAAGCCCAAGCCTCGGATCCACCCGCTGCCATACCAACGACCGCCTTTGGTCGATCCGTAAAGTCTGGCAGAATTGGCCTATCACTTCGGGGTGTTGACCCAGGGTCAATGAAGGCATAGAAGGCATAGAAGGATTCCAGCTTCAGGGAGTGTTGGAAGTTCAAGCGCACGAATCATCTGAATGCTGGAAGTTCAGCACAGATGAAGCCCTTTGCCATGCGATGGTTGATTGGAGGCAAAGGCGAGTCCGATGGGGCATCGGGTCCTAATATGGGTAGAATCAGAACTTCTTCCTCACTTGTGGAGACATCAAAACCATTAAGCTGCTTTCTGATATTGTGGAATTATTGTGGAATGTACCAAGAAGGAAGAGGGCATCAAGTGGACATCAAGAATCAAGAGAAAAGAACATAAAACGGAATCAACACAGGGCACAAAAGGGGGAAATAGGGGAAAGCAGGAAGCAACAAACACTCAGAGCAAACAAAAAGGATAAAAAGGTCAGCAGGAAATCGAAGGCAGAAACACAAAAAAGGCACATGAGTGGGTCCATGAAAAGGACATCATTCAACATGTCAATCGCCAGGATGCTTCCTCCGTATTCTTGCTGCCGTGTGTTGTTATATTCAGCAAGAAGTCTTTCTGTTTGAGAAGGTGGTTCCGATCCTGAAAGGCCGTTGGCCAAAAACCACGGCTGAAATTGCTCCGATGGAGTTGGTTTCTGAGGATGTTGCTGGCCGCAAGGAATCTGACTCGATGTAGCAGCATGATGCAGCATGCACTATCACGTCCCATCCCAAGACTTTGCCACCCTTCAGCCCAGCTTAAACAGTTGCTTTCTTTTTTCCTGAGGCTGTTGTAAATACTTACCGAATACGGAGGCCTTGTTGGAAAACCCAAGTCTAATTTCATTTGATCATCCCTCAAGCAAGAAGGCTTCATGATTGGAGCAGGAGAGAAGCAAATGACGCATGCTCTGTAAGCAAGAATGTGAGCATTTCTTTCCTTGATCTACTTCGAATTCCAGTGTGGGTATGTGCGGGCCTTTGAGTGCGACACCAGCATAGTTGAGCAGCGCAATGTTTGGACAGCAGAGATAGAGATTCACTAGAGTTCACCAGGTCACAAGACGGCAGAATCAACTCTCAATTGACTCTCAATATGTTTTTGAGATTGACTCCATGACAGACAATAGTCAATACTAAATATATGATCCATATATAGTAAATATGTATATAATACGTATTTATGGTAGAGGCAAAACATTTCTCGGCTACGGCAGAGGCTTGCGGTCGAGATGTGCCGGGTCCACAGAACAGGCGAGACAGGTGCGTGACCGAACGGGCTTTGGTGACCAGCAAGAGCAGGTTGGAGACCTCATGATGGATGATTTAGATGATTGATGGTGTGGAAAGGCTAGATTGCAAGTCCCATTCTTCACTAGGACAGTCTATCAGCAATCTCCAAAACAGGTAATTATGATGATTGAGGATGTATGATGGGACGAGTTGGATCGCCCAAAGTGTTTGCTCCCGATCCGACACCCAGGCTCCAAGGCTGACGCATCTACGACATAGTTTCCAGGACGTCCGTGACGTGCATTCGTCTCGGACTTGTGCGAAAGTCATGCTTGGACTGATCTTCAAACAAACCCCTCCCCAAAAATGTGGGGAGATGAGTTGAGATGTGTTCCTTTCGGTTGCGATTTCGTTTGGGGTAGTGTACCAACTCACACCCTATCAGCTTGCATTGTCAACATTGAGCCAGTGGACCCTCGGACATGGGACAACCCGTCTAAGCCTAAGCATAGATCTCCAACCGCCACCAGACCTTAGCCACAGGGTGTAACTGTTACTGTAACCGCCACTCGTGTCTTACAGGTGTTTTTTCTGGATCCTGGAAGGTCTCAGCGTGTCTCAGCAATCGGTGACCCACACCATCCTCGGAAACACGTCAACCGCACCAAGAGAAGGGCCGTATCCTACACAAAACCAGCTTGGGACGATCTAGCGCTGCAGAATGGGCCTTGGATACCCAGCGGAAATGGTCGGTTAGGAGCTTGTCCGACGAAACACGTGCCGTCCATAATCACACAGCCAGATGTCAGGCAATATAAATTATAATATATATATATATATGAGTGCAACATCAAGAACAACCCTTGAAAGAATCAGAACACCCCCATAAAGCATCAAACACCATCAAAAGCCCACAGAACAAGCCCCTTTTTGGCCCACTGTTCCACCCAGCCAGAGGGCGCCAGAGGTGGCTTTGACCATGACATGCCCTGTGGGCATTGCTCCTCAACGCCTGGATGGCCGGAGGAGCCCACTCGTTCATCGCGCCTGGCGCGCGGGGCCCAGCCGCTCCGTTCCGCTCCTTTGGGGCGAACCGTGGGGCGAACCGTTCGGACCGACTCAGACGGGATGAGCAGGGAAGAGGGAGGAATTCTGGAATAGAATAGACTTGTTCTGGAAGGATCCCACAAATAAGAAATGGCAGCTCCTGATTGATGATGCTGTCATCAAGAACAAATTATGGTACAGCTTCGAAACGATACTTTTAACGCAGTCTTTACGCAAAGAAGTGGACGCCGTCCATTTATAGAAGGGGATTACGGAGAATTTGAAGCGTACCAGCCAGGTATATAGATAGGCGCAATACAATGCGAGGGTATATGAGCTCGCTTCGCAAACAGCATTCCCAGATCAACCGCACAGACGAGTGAAACCTTTTTCACAAGAGTTGGATGAGAGGAGAGTAAAGTTGGCAGCACACATATTACGAGCGCCAAACTCCGACCCTGTCAGGCAAGTCTCATATCAACCAGATAGCGCTGAACCAATCTACATTGGCAAGAGACGCATAGGCCGACCTAGACAACAATGGCTATCTCGATCTGCGTGGACTGCTTCAACCGTTGCCACATGATATGCCCAATTCGCGGACAAGAAAACGTCCCCTTTGGCGACTGGACTTCTACAAAAATGAGGACGAGGGCGTTGATGACGGCGACAACGGCGAACGCCACTGCCGCAAGTTTTGCCAAAGCCAAAGATGCCCAGCACTGCACGCAGTCGAGGACAGCGACGCTCAGTTGTCTTGCGAAGAACACTGGAGTTACAGACTCGTCTCTGGTTAGCGCTGCGGGCCACCTTACGATCCAGTGGTCACGACCCCAAAAGTGGCAGACCTACTCTGGCATGGACCGCTCGAGTGATCTATGTGATCTGAGAGCAGCGCCCTGGAATTGGAACGGCGAGATGGAGCTCCTCGAGTGTTGTTGACTATTGTTGACTACTTCACTCTCAGATTTTGACCGGCTGTGCATTCCTACAGACTCAGTTCATGCTTCCCTTAAGGGTCTTCTTAGAGAGCTGGAAGTTATGCGGGTGTGTGTTTTAAGCGTTTTTGATGTGTTTTTCTTAGATTTTGTCATTTTTTTGAAAGAGTTTCCACGGCTGCGGTCTAGATATGTTCTTGTGCTCCTGTTTCCCAAACAAAACCAACTTTCAAAGGTAGCACTTTTTGGACTTCTCCCTCGACATTCTTTATGAAATGGGCTTCTCCCTCCACACTCTTTATGTGGAGAGAAAATCATTATCTTGAAAAACAATGTGCCCACCAGGCCCAACAAAAGTTGAGAAACTTGCTTAGTAGTACTGGACCTGGATGACTGATTGGAATTGGGCTTTGCATGGCCTTCTTGACGCCCATACCCATAATAAGCTTCATCCTCATTCTCAGGGTCATAGGGAACCATTCTGCGAGCATTGGGAGTTCACATCCTATCCCACAAGTTCGATTGGACCAATCCTGCTCATCTCCACTGCTCTCACCCAATGGCTCTTCAGGTCTATGCTCCATATCCCCCCATTACGACGAAATCTTCCAAAGAACCTTATGAAGCCCATGGAACGGTCCAGCCATAGATACACTCAGGGTCTGAATTTCACCCAAAAAATTCAATACCCTGCACCGGAGGAAGACTTTCCAAAGAGATTTATAATCTCGATAAGATATTTAAAATGCAAAAAATTGCAAAAAATGTTTTAAATGAAAATCTTAGCAACAATCAACTCAAAAAATCTCGAAAAATCTCAAAAAATCTCGAAAAATCTCGAAACATCTCAAAAAATCTCGATGGGATAAAAGGAAAAATCATTTTAACAACTCAAAAAATCTCAAAAAATCTCGAAACATGAGAAAATATGCAAAAATATGCAAAAAGATGCAAAAACATAATTTCACATGCAAACTGGAGCGTGATATGACTGCTGCAGTCAGTTGTGTTCAGCTGTTAGGATAACTTCTCCCCAAGAAACACAATTTGATTAACCATGTTGTGTTTGAGGTGTTTTCCCCAAAAATAGTAACTTCTTTTAAAACAAAAAATAAAATATAAAAAAGTGAAAATGTGGAAAATGTGAAAATATGATCAAAAATGTGGAAAATTGATAAAAACATGTGAAAAATGCAAAAAAAATCATGCGACCCTGCTCTGATCTAATCCTTCTCTGATCTAGGTGATTGAATTTTTCTGGTGAGAATTGGCTGTGTGGCCACTACTCATTCCCAAGTTCATGAAGAACCTTCTCTTCACCCCAACCAGATTCCCCTCATAGAGGAGATGACCTGACGATGTATGATGTGATGTCGTGGACTTGCTGATAGATGATGGTTGATGGACATCTGCGTGGGAATCATGAGAGCTAGTATTTTTGCAAAAAGCTTGATGAGAGATCTGACAGATTACAAATCTACATTTTTGCTAGACACGTTTTTCAAAACAAACAACATTAAAAAAACACAGAAAACCACAAACCGCAAAAACGCGCAAAAACCACACCCGCATAACTTCGTTTTCTGTTTTCTTAGTGCCCCCGTTTCATCAACCCACTAAGCCAAGTTTAGCCGAATAAGCTAACTGCATTCCCAAACAAACAAACAGGTGTATTTCCAAGTATATTTCCAACACGTGTTTGTCTTATTAGAGAAACTACCGACTATTCTCCCAACGGAGCCTTGTGGCCAACTTGCTCCCAACTACCGCGAAAACCTATCTCTTCGCTCCTACTCTTCCCCGCTATGGTTTCATGTTTTTTTTCCGTGTTTGGTCACTCTCAATGAAGCTTGAAAACTCCTTCACCTCAGCGAAGGTTGATCTTCCTTGGGATCATTCAAGTGGTGGCTGAAGTTGGCGGACAGACCTTCAGGGTTCTCCAAGTTCGGCACTTTCAGGAGAGGTTCATGGCGCCTTGGGGTTTGCCGATTTGCTCCCCCCAATCTGGAAACTCAAAAACCCTCCAACCACTATACCCGAATGTTTGAATGTGGTTCGCCTCCGCTGGCGCGGATTTTGTAAACATCTTAAGCATTGCCAATACATGCGTGCCGAAGCCTTGCTGCATATCCTGCGTTAACATTGCCAATTTTTCCAAAGACACTGTCCCAACATTTTCCACCCCAAAAATTCCCACAACTACTACTTCCATGTTCACGTGGGCCCAAAATGGCCCAAAACCATCGACAAATCTTCCACGAATATTGTCCCCAAAACTGGTAGTTGACACTGAATCAAAGAACCTGCAAAAACAGAACCATAGTTTTGGACATGAGAAGATTGAGGTTTTGGCCAAGGCATAGGCATAGTCACCCTTTGCTAGTACACAAGTCTGAACAAAAACGTGGGCACTTGGTGGGACAGACTTTGGGACAGGTTTCCTACTAAAAATAGTTTGTTTTTTCCTTTAATTTAGACAGTTTTAAGATGCACAATGCTCAATAGAAGGCCAGAGAACAGGTGGTTTTGGGAGTTTTTTCCTTTACCTATGGATGTGCAAAATGCGCTCAAGGTCGTGGCTTCAGCTTCAGCGGCAGGAGTGTGCGACGGGTCTGCCGGAGAAGGAGAGATACTGACACGCCAGGAGCTACAGGTGTACGGCGGGGTGGCAGCATACAGCAAATAGATGGGTTTTTCAATCCAAAGGGGTTGTATTGATCGAGAGTCAGAGTCTACATTAAACCATTGCCACTGACTAACCGTAACCTGAAAGTTCTTGTTTTGGTTGCACCTTCTTTCACTGCTTCTGGGGATCAGGCTCATGAGAAAGGCTTAATCAGGCAGGCATACATTACACAAGGCATACGCAAGCCGGCTTACCTGGGCGAGGTAACCATTTACTTGTTGACCCTGTTGGTCCTGGATTACTTAGCTTTCTTCATGAAACTAATGACATACCAGTGCTGCTACATTCAATTTCTGGGGACGACTACCTCTGAGGCGGTGGCTTCCCATGATTGTGTCCGAAACTTTCAGAAGATCTCAGTCGCACTAAGTATCAATATTTGCGTTTCTAAAGGGTAGAGAACAGATAGGGCAGCTTTTGCTTGTTGCATCGTCTTGTTGGTACCATCCTGTTCGGATCTGTACAGCAACATCCTCAAGATCGCCCAGTTTCGCGCTGTCGTACAAGCATCGGGATTTGTCCATGAAGACGGCATCGCGCTGGTCGGTTGGGGCGGGCAAGCAAAAAGATCTGCATTTTTGAATCTTCTGAAACCCAATGGCGAGACCTTTGGACTTGTTGCTGCGCGTACACAAAGATCCCTTACTCTACAAAGCAGGGGGTTCTCGGAAAAGCATGATGTTTGTTTTTTGGAGTCTGTAAGGACAACTTCGACGCTGCCCGGAACAAAGTTTGCACATAGCCTATGACAGGTATGGATTGCAACAGGAGTCCTCCATCATGTGCATGAATCTCCCAGGGTTCCCAATCCACAACGATTCAATCCAAATGAGCTCAGATCCCGAGTTTGCACCGTCTTTGGTTTCAGGAGAAGCGGCGAACTGTTGCAGAAGATGCACAGAGGCGTACCGAAAGAAAACCTGCAAAATCGCCGGTCGACACCTCGAATCGCCGGTCAATCGGCAGTTCAGAACTGGACTTGGAGAAACTCTCAGCAATTCAATGACATATTAATCCAGAGATTCTTGCACAAGGTTGTAAAAGACTATGACAGCTTTCTGTTTCTGTCCAAAAATAGCTTGTGTGATGTGGCATGCCAATGTGGAGAAGGAAACCGATATGTTGAGGTTACAGTTGAAACTACGGACTTCTACACTGATTTGAGGACTTTGCCAATCTGTAGAACATCTCAGAACTCCTTCCAAGAGTTTGTGGAGGGATCTCTAGGAATGAGGATGATTTTGCTTGTTGGAGATTCCTGATGCAACCTTCAGCTTTTTGATGTCACCGTGCAACCCTACCACTGGAGCCTCGCGGTGATGCGCACATGGGGAATTTGGGGAGGCTGTGCCAGGTATGTTTGATGAATTCTCGGAAGTGGCCCAACCCAGATCACGAATTGAAGATGTATCATTCTGTGTCCATGGGTTTTGGGCACGTCTCCAATGATGTCCCGATGGACGAGGCAGTGATGTTCCCCTGAACTTTTGGTAATTTTTCCACGCTGTGCTTTTCGATTTCGAAGTCATGGGATTCATCCCTTCCCTTTCCTGGATCTCCAGGCTTCTGTTCGAGAAGGACGGAGACGGGTGGGGCCTCAAGTTAGGAGAGCAGCAGCTATTCCAGCAAAGGCAAACAATTGACATCAATTGACAGTTATATATAATGGAATTGATCAACTTTGAGCATGTGTTTGACCATCCAGCTTGATTCAAATTCTTCAAATTAGACCCTTTTGGCGTTGATGTTCACCGCCAGGATCGATCTGAACTGTATCTTCCTCCAACGGAGCTCTTGCACCTGTTGAAGGCGAGTCATAGGGAGTTTCGTGGTAAACATGGAAGTTGATCAGTTGAACATTACATAACATTACCCATCATTGATCATTACATATCACTACCCTGATTCTGTTCATATTCTGTAATTATATTTTTGTACAACAGATCAGAGAGAGGTGTTCATGACTTCTCTTGGACTTCTCAACTTCGATTGGCGCCATGTGACGACCCGTTGGCTCCCAGGACACGGTGCTGTGTCCGGCCTTCTCCATCGAGTTGATCCAACGGTGCCGGATCCGTCGCCCGACGGATCCGACGGGTTTGGGACGGCGATACTGAGGTTTGGGGCCCAAAAGCAGCCTTCATAGCTCACAGATCTCACGCACTCAGCACATCTCATTGTTTGTTTTCTTGTTGCCTTTGGAACATTTGGAAGAAACACCGATCATGGAATCGTGCTCGCTTGTCATTGTACCTTTCATACCCCTTTGGCTCAATGGATGTGGCTGTCAAGGAATGGCACCTCCATTTTGCTTTGCCCATACCAACTCATGTGCAGTCGATTGTTTTCATTTGGGGGCTTTATCTTGCCGAAACCAGGAGCTGTTTCTAAGCAAGGAATCTTACATCCTAATGCTTGCTCTATTTGTGCTGTCCCAGAGTCTCATGGAACCTCAAACCAACAAAAACACCTAATTAGTTATGAAGGTATATGAAGGTCATTGAAGGTCCAATGAGCCTTTGGTTTCGGTAACTAGGCCACTTAGCAAAGATTTAACGATATTTGCTTCCCCAAAATTTGAGGCAGTCTTCCGCCAGCACGCCGAGCATCGCCCACGACTTCTCCAGGTACCAAGACTTCCTCTTTTGTGACCAAAGAGCCTTCAACGGCTGCGGGGCACCCCAGCGAGTTCATTGTCACCCGAGATGGGGTGGTGATTCCATGTGATTCCTGCTTTTGGGGTTCCTTTGCTTTGAACCAGCTTTCTGGATGCCTAAAAGTACCACATCCCATCAGTGAGCTACAAGAAGGAACCACTTCCATTCCGCCCAAAAAGCAGTGAAGTGAACACTTGGGGCGACCGCAGTCGGAGTGAACCGGTCCGGCCGGTCCGGCCACACGTCGGCCATGGACATCCAAACGTCGGCATGAGATGCACACGTGATGCTCTGCTCAATTCTGCTCCGGAAGGACCGTCAAGGATCCCAATGAATCTCCTGGAGGACCTGACCTGGACTCAATCCTATCCAACTGCAAACTTACCCTCCAGCTGCCCAGACCCTCCATGCACCCGCCGCGCACGCCGCAGCCCTTCTCGAAGATCCGCTCCCGCAAGCTCGTCTTCAGCCCGGGTGGGGCGACCATGATGAAGCGATCGGTGAGATGCGAGTTTTCGGAGGGCGCGAGCAACAAGTTCTGGGAGTGTGCCATGGCTGCAGCCGAGACCATGTTTTTCTTGGCATGAGCTCTTGAAACAGTGGGACAATCAATCTGCTGAAGTACGATATATGTATACGGAGCTCAGCTAATTGTGGATGGATGAAGAGAACCTTCATCACCTTTGGCCCAGTGTGTCTCCCAAATCAATGGCAGAGTCTCCTTTGCTCGCAAGTCCCATGCCCAACTGTACACCAAAGTCACTGTGTTCTGCTTTCTTGCCTTGCTTGCGACCGACATGTCTTGGTAATGCAGCCCAGGTTATCAAGTTGGCTCGCAGGTAGAGTCAGGTCACGGCAAGATTGGAGGCGCAGAGCGCTGTTCGAAAGAGCCCAGCTCAAGAGCGGTCTTTTTGCTTCGGAATCCGATGCCAACATGCATCATCAACTATCCCTCCGAGTGCAATCCACCCAAATTGTACAAATTTGTAGAATCTATTTGCAGACCTCAAGGATGGGATGTCACATTGATCACCCTACCGTGCCAACCGGTCGAATGACACCGAACCGCCATCGGGTTCGACGCATCGGCACAAGCAGATGGCAGGTGCACCGAGCACGAGCATCAAGTGCTTCGACTCAGACTTTAAGGTGGGTCCAGTCGGAGTCTGGCAAGGGGGTTTCAGTCGAAGGAGCCGAAGGTGAAACCGCTTTCCCCACTGGTTCGCGGAAAAAAGCATCTGGGAGCTGCCGACAAGGGGGGAATTCCTGTTTGAAAGAGATTCGGATCGCACAGCATGTTCGGCCCATCTTCCAGGCATGCAAATTCTATGAAGCGCAGTTGGCATCGAAGCTGAAGAAAGGTGCGCAGTTGGCAGAAGCCGATTCTTGAACTTTCTTGGAGATATGCAATGCACAGTTAAGACTTGTTGCCATTCGTTGACCAGCTCAATGTTTCGATGATCATACTGCACTTAGACACCGTGTTTGACCCAATTGTGTTGATGCAAGAATGGAAGAAAGGCATGTGCGCGCATGTGGATCTCAATTCTCAGCGTGATTCGTTTGAGGCTATGTGGAGAGCGGCAAGGCCAAAATCCTCGGCAAGGCTGCACCGAAGATCCATAAGGTGGAAATGAAGGCTGCAGCAATGAAGGTGATGAAAGTCGCCGTGAAAGCGAAAGCTGCTCCCATGAAAGTCATTTGGCATAAAAGATGTTTGCGTCTATCATCAGCTGTCCCTTATGGAACCCACGGAGCTGGAAGGGTTTGAGTCTATCATGGACATGGCAAAACTGTTCCAACGTAAACTGGACCATAGTTCATCTCTCTGAGCTGATGATTTAGGCTCTTTGTGAGGACAGGTTGACCACTTCTTTCGGGCAATGCTTTGTGGTGACTCCAATAAGAACAAATAGTGCAAGGCTGTTTGCTCGGCCCTTGTGACAGCAGTCGTCGCCCAAGTCCAGCGGACCGCTGAAATAAGGCAATGAAAGCTGCCGGAGGCCTTCTGCCTTTGAGCCATTGAGCCACTATGTTACAGCAGTGACCTTTTTTGGAAGTGCAATGTTTAGATATACCCATAGCATCCCATAGCCATACCACGTACCTCCACGTACATTGTATGATTTTCCTGGTTTTCTGAAGGGATCAAGCTTTGATGGGCAGCGTGCAGCAAAACCATCCCGTAAATCAAGTGCCCATCTCTTGCAGAATCCTAACCATCCAACTCTCCAAATGGCTTTTCGGTTTGCATTTCTTGTGCTTCGCCTTGTCGGCTCCAGCTATCGGATTGTCAGGTGGCAAGCTGAAGGGGAAGATTTTGTGCTTCACAGGTGGGGCCTGTTCAGCTGTGCTTCGCAGGTGGGGGCGTTCTCATGTGAAAGATGACTGTATGAAGGATTAGAGGAATGCGTGAGCTAAGGTTGACGAATTCGTTTTCAATTCAATCCATACATGTGGTAGCGGTAACAAGATTCACAAGGTGCAACAAATTTTAATGATTGAGAGTAGAGAGAGTGAGATGCATGAGCTACCAAAAGGCCCCGGTTGAAACCAAAAAGGTATCCCACAGCTCGACTCCCAAATCATCCCAAGGCACTTGCCTGAAAGAGTAAGCCTCACGGTTTTATTCCAGCAATTGGTAATGTACAACCATCTCGAGTAGTTATGTAATGAAAACATAGGAATTTCCAAGAGGCTCGCATCGCAGGTACCCTTTGAACACCGATGGGCAAAACATGCTGTTCCTATTTGTTCCTAGCCCACAGTCAACGGGAAGAAAGGATCTAAAAGTTCAATCGAGATCGATACCCAGGGGCCTTTCAAGACTGACAGCCACGATCGACCGCAGGTGCTCTTGCAATCAAAAGGTCTTTGGCAAAGTCTCTCGCCACGAAGGAGGGTGCCAAGGTCACCGGAAGTGTATCTCACAATACTGTGCCTTGGTTGAGATATTTTTTTCCCCAGACTCCATGTATTGAATAGGTACCTGTACATTTGGGGTGATTGTCATGGGGTTTTCGTGTATGTCATGGGTGGTCTGAGTTTGTGGGACTGCCAAACGTCGGTGTCGCTGAAACCATGGTGGATCCAAGTGAAGCTCGGTTAGATCAGATCAGTCAGTCTCTATATCCTGCTAGCTTCTTCGGGGATCGGCTATTTTATGTCTCCATTGGTCCTTTTGGAAAATATATCCATTGGTCCTTTTGGGATCTTCCTTGGTCCATTTTCTTCGGGGATCGTCCATTGGTCCTTTTGGCCATTTTATGTATCCATTGTTCTTTTTCACAATTCTGAGTGAGGCATCTGAGAGTTTGCAGAGTCGACAGTGTCAGTGTTGCATGAGGCCTGTGATGGGCTGAGACCACAGGGTTTTCAGCTGGTTTAATGCGATGGACAATGGGCCACTTGATCGAACAAGATCAACCAAGTAAATCCAAGTGAGCCATCAGAACAAGACCCAATCCAATGGATTCACCCATTAAATGGTTCTAATCCATTGGATTCACCCATTAAACAATCGGTCGGTGCTCATCGACGGAGTCGTCGGTGTGGAGGACTGAAGCCGACGTCGCTCGTTGGTCAGGATATTTTGGTTGTTGGCAAAGATGCCGGATCAAAGATGCTCGGCAGTTTCATGCTTTGTGGAATTTGATGGGATTCATCTGTGTTTTTTGTGCCTTTTCTCCTCCCTTGGCCAAAATTATCTAGATCTTGCATGCTGCTAGCTTGGTTTCCTCACTCTTCTAGTGATTCCCCTGTTTTGACTTCAGATGGCTGCTATTCTTGCGCCAGGATTGTGAAAGGATCCGGAAAGATGCAATACTGGGATCTTTGGCATCGTCTTAGTCGGTCTTTGGCAAATAATCGGGGGATACACCTCACAGAGAAGGACCTGCCACCAATCATGGCTCAGTGTCTCTACTTTCAGACTTTCAACTGAGAGCCATCAAAGTAGACATCCACGAAAGTGAGGCCTGCCATCGTTTGAGACAACCACAGTTGCTTTCGGTTTATTCCCCTCAATCTGAGACCACTGCTATTCTCACCGCATCCAGAGAGACTGCATGATGGGACTGAGCTGGACTGGGCTGGCCCAGACCCTAAGGATGAGAAGAAATTCCTCAAGACCGTCGGCTTCGCGTGATCGATCGAACCCAAGAGGGGCTTCGGAGCACCATCGGCCACTGCGGGTGCCAATCAGATTGAGCTAAAGCCAAGTCATTGGCGAAGGTCGTGCGAGTAGAAGGCACGCGGCACATTTCTGAGTAGTTCGGCACCTGAACCATCGATTTCCCAGTTGGATCTAGCACCAGCGGTTGGGATGCAGTCCTTATGATAGCAAATTGATGCAAATTGTTTTGAAGATCATGAACACTGTTCCGACGATGACGATGTCAGGCTGAGTTGTTTGCTAGATCCAGGTCATATCTGAGACTCACATTGCAGTGTTTGAATGCTGTGAAAATGGGCCCTGGCTGGAAAGTTGAGAGTATTTGCAGCAAAACCCGCCGCCACGCACAGAGAATGCCATTTTGAGCTTTCTGTGACTATGGAGATCTATGGAGTGATTGAGAAAGCGAACTGGTTGCACACCTTAACAAGTCATGTGTTGTGTTCGGCTTCAATCTCAGAATTGATTTAAGGCACAATACAGGACACCCATTTAACTTTAAACCAATCATAACCAATCTATCGATTCAAGCAGGTACAACAGTCCCCCGGCCCCTGAGACCCGGTTAGAGATATTCTCTACAACTCGGTTCTGAGGGAGCGGAGCTGCCGCCTGGGGGTATCCGTCTTCCATCATTTACGTACTTGTTTTACTATATTAACATAATTAGTAACAAACAAACTCAGATCAAACCCTGTAAGAACCCAGCCTTAACCAATAACGGTAAGAACCCTTAGTGTGACCATATACTGCTTGGGGAAGAAAAACACTCCAAAAACATCCTGGCAACAAGGACGTCCACCGTGTGGGCTGACACGTGAGGCCGTGAGCGACGACAGTTCTTCCGGAACCAGGCGAAGCACCGATCGACGATCGGAGAAGCGCCGGTAGCTCGAAGGATCAACGGGCGCATGACTGGTGCGGTTGGCACTGTGATTGCGTTTCCCCTGCAGAGAAGCATCGTTCTTTTCCGTCTATTGATTATTTGGCTGCCTATTGCATGATGCGGGAATGGAAGCAGAAAGGAAGACACATGCAATAATGTACCAAGCTTGATACCAATAGGGACAAATAGGGATCCAATCACACTCTCAGCAAGTGTTTGACCCCGAAAGCAGTGCCCACCGACATTCTCAAGCCGCTAGATGAAAGAGACGCACGAGTAGAATGCGAATGCATCAACTCAATCAGGGAACATCCTTTGGGCTGTTTCGTGTTGATCAGAGTTGTTTATGCAGAAGCTATGAAATCCATGAGACCATTCAAAGATCAAAGTCCCGCCGCTCTCGTTAGAACTCTTGTCAACATGATTGAGCTTTCATCCATTGCAAGGCACTCTACCTCTACACTGAGCAAGCGGTTCTGGTCGCAGTCCTCAGCTGAAACAATAGTCCAAAACCGAGGCTGGAAGTGTTTGGATCATCCAAAGATTGCAACTGATGCAGAATCTTAATGAGTAAACAACCCCTCCAGACATGGATTGTACAACCTCTTCATGCATGAGGTGTCATTTTTAGGAGCATACAGGCTTGATCTTGATGCAGGAAGGTTTTTGTGTCAAGGCTGGACATTTACCAGGGACTGTCACAGGCGTTGACTTGCGTTTGATATAAGATGTTCTCTTCAAGTGCTTGTGGTCATGGTTGAACCACCAAAGAATAAGTTTTTTTTGTTTTCGAAGCTTAATGGATTCCACAGAATCCCTATTCAGGTCTCAAGATCCAATGTACATAGTCATAGAGTCATATAGTCAATCCATGTCTTCCAGTGTTTGGCAGCTAAGTATGGCATACTGTGCTGCACGGGTTTTGCCATAGATTCGTTGAAACAGCTGGAGTCCCTTCCTCATACCAGTGGAGAAGGCGAGAAATTTGAGTACAGCAAGTTGATGGAGACAGACTCTTGTGCTGAGTAACAAGTCACCTATACTTCCGGCCCCGGTGGCTCGGCTGGAATAGTTCAGGTCCGGCAATGTTTGGAGCTCCTTTGCAGTGTGGAAGAGGACAGATTCGCATTGATTTGATCGGTTTGTACGCAGAGCTTCTGGAACATTGGAGGGTTCTTTCGAGAGAGAGAGAGAGGGAGAGAGAGAGAGAGAGAGATTTTTATCATTGTAGTCTGGCACTGGAAGTGAAGTCCCGCCCAGAGCTCAACATGTTGCAAGTTCTTGCTGCTACATGGAGCATGCCCACATTTTAGAATCCTCTTTCTCCAACCATTACACCGCTTGAAAGCTCTTAAGCCTTTGCAGTATGACCTTTGTACCCTTCAAAGAGGGAGGTTTCTGTCCCATAGGCTTCACCTTTCATTTGTTCCACCGGCAGCCTGAGGATGCCCTTGAGCTGGGCCTCCCAGAGGAGTCTGCGGAGAAGCAGGTCTTCCCACAGAGTTGCCGGTGGTGGGTGCTGGCGGTGGACATGATCGAGTTGATCAAACTGGACAGTGTAGATTAAGTGATAGTGGATTGAGAGTAGATGGCACAGACCCCAAGAGATAGTTTATATGGACCCCCCATCTGGACATCATGGGGTCTGTGCCATCTACTCTGAAAGGGCCCCTGGAGGCCGTATCATCCACAAGGCCCCAGACACGGCCGTGTGACGCGACGGGTTTTGGGGGTGGCGGCACAGGTTGGTTGACAAAGGAATTGGGCCTGAAGAAATCATGTGGCAAGCAGGAAGTGCGAAGGACGGTTGACAAATACTCCATTTTTCGTTTGGGGATATAGGCTAATCCAGATTCCAGATGGACGAGAAGAGTTCGTTCGGTTGTAGCCACTGGTATAGATCAGACTGGAAGGACATTGGCAGTTTCTGCAACTGCACAACGATAACATAGCCAATGATATATTTTAGTATTGAGGAGAAACAAGGGATTCCACACGCCAATCACAGCGATTTCACGTTCTCTCCATAACGATTCACAACTGCAGTTCTAAAACGTCTACGGACCATACTAGTAACAAGGACGCTAGTAGGGGCTCCTGGCATCGCTACTAGGAGCAAGGACGCTACTAGTAGCTCCTGGCCTTACTACTAGGAACAAGAAGCTATTAGAAACAAGACATAGAAGTAGAAACAATGTTCGCTACTAGGAACAAGTGCATCGCTACGTTCGTAACAAGTGCCTTACTAGTAGTAACAATGTTTGCTATTAGAAACAAGAAGCTACTAGGAACAAGTGCCACGCTAGCAGTAACAAGTGCCTTACTAGTAGTAACAAGAAGCTATTAGAAACAAGTGCCTTACTAGTAGTAACAATGTTTGCTATTAGCATACACCTCTCTCACCAATCACCGCCCAATCACCGCAGGCGCCGGCGCCGGTGTCCTCCGTGCCTCGGGACCTCTTAGAGTTCGAGGCCGTGTTCCACTCGCTGCCAGGCGAGGGGAACGGACGGCTATACAAGAGTGGTAGTGGTCCTTGGAAGAGGCGTTCCACTCCGTAGCAAGGACTTGGCACATCAATTAAGTGTTCATTGATGATGAATTGATGAACTGGTTTGCAACACAGGGTTGTTGGCCACTGTTCACAGCAGACCGGACAGCTAATTGCAAGGTTGTTGCCCATGAGCAAAACTGGAATCAGTCGAACTGAATGATTGGACAGTTTTACGAAAACTGAATGCCACCCACGCACTAGCAGTCTGTTCCAAAGCATGTTATTTTGGACATATATGTATGTATCTATATAACATGTGTATATATAATATATGTATATATAAATATTGATTGCTCTTGTAGCTGAAAGTTCCGGTGTTTGGCCAACTTTGACGGGTTTCACCGATGCTCGAGACTGCTGCCGCTGTTTCAGGAGACACCAAGGACCAGACCGATGAGGCACGCGGGCAGAGCAGGGCGGACAGAGCAGTAGTTTTTGGCTGACACCTCACAAAAACCATGGCTTTGAGTTATTGGTTTGCTTCAATTTGTTCAGACCAGGCCGACAAAGGCTTAGAGAGAATACCGAAGAACCAAAAAAACAAAGTAATAAAAACAACACAGCAAAAAACAAACAAATACAATATCAACAAAGCACACCAAAAAACATCAAAATCAAAAAACCAATGTTTGAGACAAAATGAAGGCAAAACAAAAGCAAAATACACATCCAAATCCTATAGTACCCTCATTTTGTCTCAAACATCTTTTTTTTGCATTTTGCATCTTTTTTAAAATTGTGTTGGTAGTTTGTTTTGTTTTTTTGGTGTTCTCTCTTGTAGAACATCAGACACCCCTTGGTAGGCAAATGCTTTTAAAACTGAGCGCCAAAAGGAAGCCTTCAACCTTCACAAGGGTTCTTTTGCTTTTTCTGTTGTTAAACATTTCCTTCTTAAGAGCATTCAGATTCAAACAAAGGAACGCAGTACTAAAGAAGCTAATGAGCTAGACCAAGTTTCAACAGCAACAAGTTACTTCTTCTGGTGTCCTTGACAATTCAATTACAAAAGTCGAAACAACATTGCTCTCTCTCTCTCTCTCTTGACCTTGGTTTCCGAAGACCAAAGGCCACAATGCAATCCCTTGGACCGATCTCTCCATTCACTGTTTGACCAAGCTTCGTCAGGCCAAGCCCTCCGCCTTTGGCCATCAACAAGGCCCACTGGCTGTAGGGGAGCCCAGCTGCTGGCTGTAGAACGCCTTCTTCGCTGTTGCAAACTTGGACCGCAATGACCAACATAATTCCAAAAGGACAATGTCTGACAAGACAATGTGGATTCTCAAAAGAACTTCCTTTCAAGATGGAAGTTGCGCCGCTTTGGATACGAAGGAACTCTTGTATGGGAAAACCAACTGCTGTTCGGAGAAGTTTTGGCAACGAGGACTTCCTCGTGGATGCCTCTCAGGCGTGTGAGCTCAGGGGTGGGACCCAACTGGAGAAAGCGCCAAATGAAGTCCATGTTGGAACTTGATGCGCGTTGCAAAGTGAAGGAGCCCATCCAAAGTCGGTATAAGTTGGTATGATTCACACTTGATTAAAGACATGACTGGCAAAAAGTTCCATGGTCTTGAGTATGCTGTATTGAAAGCTCCTGAGCATTTTGCTGCAAATTTGCTCAGCTGTATATACACAGGACACAGAGGCTGTTTGCCATGGAACCGGCAACACCAAGCATACAAAAGCACCCACAAACCACTCAGCGCTACCCAGCCTTAGGATACATTGAAGTTTGCATCTGGAGCTTTGTGCATGTTCAGTTGGCAAGTTACCCAGCAAGCATAGGGCATAGGACTGGTTTTCTGTGATTGGACTGGTTTATAATAGGAAGAGTAACATAGGCACATATAGGAACACTTCTTTCTCTGTGCCCATGTCGGTGTGACATGGTGTGACCACATGTTTAGGCCTCGGTTAAATGGAAAAAACACACGGCAGCAACATGCAGCAACCTACAGCAGCAACGTGCATTGCCCATTTTTGCGCAACGCGAGCGCCATGTGTACTTGGGCGCATAAAGATGCGCCAGAAGGCTGGGTGGATTGCAAAACAAACGGCATGGTGCGTGGTATTTGTTTGGCATGGACGGTTTTCCACAATGACAATCGTCCATGCTGATGATGATGATGATGATGATGATGATGATGATGATGATCCCATGCTGGAGATAGTATGGCTAGAGAGCAACTAAGTAAATGGACACAGGTAGTGGCAGTGGATTTGTTTGCGTTGTTCTCCAGAATATTGGCATACTTCACTGCTTCATGGGCCACAAGCCCATTGATGTCCTGCCTTTTTTTGTGCAGTTTGGACTGCCCAGGTGGCTTGGTTGATGCTCCTTTTTGTCGCGAATGCGCAGAGGAGCTCGATGTGGTCGGTCGTATGCAGAAGACTTAAGACTGAAGTGATTTAATGTAGACTCTTGACTCTTGATTATTGATTAATAAACCCCCCTTTGAAGAGGATTTTCAATTCAATTGCGGTGGTGTATTAATCAAGAGTCTACATTATGTTCAGGCTCACTTTAAGAAAACGGCCGACCTTGGTGGACGAGTCGCCCCAAACGAAGCGAGTCGCTCACTGTAGAAACCGGACCCGGTTGCCACCGGAGGTTGATGAGGGCCTAGGGCCTCTCGGAGTTCTGGACACCCTTCAAAGGTGCTTTCTTTCAAGTACACACGGATGGTGAATGGATGGTGATCGATAGTCATGTTGAGCTCCTGTGTTCTTGTACCTTTTCAGCAAGACCTCAGAGAAAAGCTACAAACACTTGAACCAAATCACCAAACTCAAAACTCGGTGCATTCCCAAAACGTCCTTGGGTGTTTTTAAGGTCGAGCGTCCAGCGTCCAGGAGCCTTCAGTCTGTCACGTGCGAGGCGCCTTGCAAGCCGGACGAATTCAAGGCAGCTGCTTGGAGAAAGGATGAGAAAGCGAAAGGTGTGTGTGTGTGTCTTGGGGGTTGGAGCTCTGTAGGCAACAAACATAGAATTATATATATATATACATGTATATACAGTGTATATATATATATATTTGATTCCAGGGTGAGACCCACGTGGTGCCTATCCAAGGGAGGAGCCATATACAATACTATACTCTATGTCTAATCGTGTTTTTATCACAACATAATACATCTAGAGTTGTAGTGACTGCTACTTCTTCTCGTGCTGTTGTGGTCGTTGGCCTTAATGAAGAGATCTTACACAAAAAGCATTTAATCCGACTCTTCAGCATGTCATCAGCACCCTGTTATTTCAATTTGGGTCTGCAACCATCCCGGTCCCACAACTCCCCTTTTGGCTTCCTCGTGAATACCACAGAAAGAGGTTTACAGATCCATAAACCACCTTGGAAGGGCAGACCATTTGAACAGCTTTTGAGCCAAATGATCAATGATTTCTAAGTATTTCTAAACTGGACATGACTAGTTGAGGAGAGTGCTCCCAGTCAATTGATCAGTTGGGTCTTCTGATGTTCAACATTGCGTCTTTGGCCCAAGACGAGTCTGAGCACTTGGTCCAACCTTTGAACCTGCAATCAGAAGGCGGACCAACGCTGCACTGCTACGCCACCGAGGACCCGTTGGTGGTCTTGTGCGGCGGCGGGCGCTGTAGTACGACGGTGCGAAACTCAGTTTCGTCCATCGGAGGGCTGGGGCCGAAGGGCCTTTCCTGTGCTTGCGAGTCGACAGTCCATATTTTGGGGTGTGGCTGCTGTTACTTCTTATATGTTTATTTTTGGACATCTAGTGTTGAGCATTGCAGCATCCAATATTTGATGACTCATGATATATGAGGGTTCGTTCAGATCAAGTCCCTAACAGGCTTCTGTGTTTGACCGTCACGTGCCAGGTTTCGCTTGATAAGGGCAAGACGCTGAACATGATCTCCTTACCCGTGGGCACTCCAGGCACGTGGTTTCAAGCTTCGTTCATGGAGCCATGAGCCGTCCATAAGAGGTTTGTGGTGTCCACAATGTTTTGTATATACAAACATCCTGGAGTAAAAGAATCTGATTCAATCCCCGAACAGGACCAGTTTCCTATATAGTGATGTTTGGATTCTTCCACGTTCTATCTACTCCAAGATGACTATCAATCTCAATATTGGACCATTCGGACCGTGCGAACATGATGAGACATTGAATGAGTGCTGAGTGCTGAGACGTTCATTTTGCCCCAGCAGAGACAGGGCGCTTGTTCATCAAGCTGGGAGCAACCCATAGAAGACAATCTCATACAATATCAGTGTTGCATATTTCATGAGTTTTTTTTCACTGGAGAAACATCATTGTACACTATATTGTATATTGTTATCACAGATTGCCTTTACTGTTGGTTCCTGTTTGGTTGATTGATAGAGGGGATACCTCCAAGATCCCCCATATCTCCCCCATATGTCCATCGTTGATCCTTGTGACAACAAGTGCACGTCTTGACCTCTTTGGGCCACAACAAGAACACCGGTGAACGTGTCCCCTGGTGCTGTGACCTGTCCTGTTCTGTGCAGAGCCCCCGAGCTCCTGGGTGGAGGCGTGGAGCTGACGATGGCCGCGACGGATGACTGGGATTTGGAGCTCCGGGATGCTGCTCGGCGTCAGAGATGCGCGCCGGAAGCCGGAAGCCGGGTGGAGTGGTCCTTGTGGTTTGGAGCCCAAAGAGGAGTTTCTTGTCTTGATGGAAGCAAGATGAAGAAAGAGAAAGCCACTTTGAGAGGATCCAGTGGTCCAAGTGGTGTAGGACCCATGGTGTGGGATGTTTGTCCATCAACACACAGGTCATGTACTGAATATTGCATATATAGGACCTTTGAGGGGCTGAGGCAATTCTTTGTTGGGATGTGTTCGGAATCCAACTGGTTTTGCCGAGCCTTGCCTCCAAACCCAACTGGTTTCACCCACGGAACGGCCACTGGTTTTTGTATATCATACAGAGATGGCCAAAGTTCTCCCCTCTTCAAGCGCTACTGACTTACGCTGTTGATTAACAACCCCCCAAATGAAGAGGTTGTTCAATCCAAATGAGAGTATTGTTTTGATCAGGAGTCTACATTGACCTAAGACAGTTCCCTACTACGGCAAAACAAAACGATGGTAGTGGCCTGGTGCAAAAAACTTCCCACCTCCAGGCTTTAGGTTCGGCCGATCATGGTGGGTTGTCAACCTCCATGAGTTTTGATCGGCAGTTGATGCCTCGTAATCCTCATGAATCTCCACTTTTTTCGTAATCCGTCAGGGCAGGATTTCCACGTCCAAAAGGCAGCCATCCATGAATCCACACCAAAATGCACCAGGGCAGGCAAGCACCTGTTCGCTGTCAGGGCACTGATGATGCTTGCATCGCCGGGATTTGTGCGGCATCGTTCGAGGTGTGGTGGGGTGGGGTGGGGTGTTCTTTCCTTTTCGGTCGCCAGCCGGGCTAGGGGGAAGTTTGCGTGATGCAGTGATGCAGTGGTTCTTTCGTAGGCAAGACCGTTCTTACTGCATGGCTCAACTCCACCGTCCACCTTTAAGTTCCCATTCTCCCTGCCTGTGCTTGCACTATTAGTTCAGGGAGGTTTCATGTTGAAAGAACTGAGTGTATGTTTGTTCGAGAACCTGGTCTTTCGAGGATACTTTATCCCAAGCAAATTTTCTTCAATGCAGGGAGATCCCAATCCCACGCCATTCCAATAGATTCAGAATTCCTGTGCCGCTCCGACTCACACCCCACATCGGCATCTTCTTATCAAGAACAGGTGGCGCACGTGCAACAAGAACTCTTTGCTCTGCCAACAAGTGAAAGAGGAAGAGAAAAACAGGTGAACAGAGGCATTTGGTGTCAAGGTCAAAGATGCAACTGCGGAGATTTTATTTCTGCACTGACTAATTTGCGCCCACTGTCTTTGTGGTGAGCATGATTGAAACACTGGGATTCCAAGAAGCTGCTTGAAGCTGCTCATTTTTTGGTATACTTCACAACACAAATCACTCCATCAAATACGTGCGGTCAGGGACGGCAAGGGTGTAACAACATCCAGGACTATTGCTTGGCGTAGCTCGGCTGCAGGGGAACTGCAAAATCATTGAGGCATCAAATGCGTCAGAAAGAACATCAGTAGTTTGATGACCAGAGTTTAGAATCCAGATGTCAAATGCGGAGCATCCACTCAGATGATCAAGTGGATGCACACGCACGTACGGCTGAAAGGGACTGCTTCTCAGCAGGATGTCCAGCTGTCAGAAGCATATCATGTTGTTAACTTCCTGCCGCCATATGGAAGTGGGTCAGATGCATTTGATGCAAGTCGTGCACGTTACACATAGAACATTTGAGCCACACCGGTGAAGGGACAAGAAGGGACTGGCGAACCGCGAACCGCAGCTGCCCGAAAGGACACATGAGGATGCCTGGGGTCTGTCCTATTAC